TACCAAGAAGGGGTACCCTCCAAAAAACGACAGACCCACAGGGACATCTGCAGAAACCAGACTTTGCGCGGCTCTGCAGAGGCAAGCTCCTCAGTCTCAGTCTGAGTCCGACCTGGGCTCAGCGCCAGCACCAAGACAAGGCTGCCATGCACTGACTGACCCTTCTGGCCATGTGTGCCAGATTGTGTGACCGGTGGGCCAAGTATCCGCTGCTACAAGGATTTACAATGCGGCTGTGTGTGACCGGTGGGCCCAGTATCCGCTGCTACAAGGATTTACAATGGGGCTGAGTCACCCTTCTGGCCATGTGTGTGTGTGACCGGTGGGCCCAGTATCCGCTGCTACAAGGATTTACAATGGGGCTGAGTCACCCTTCTGGCCATGTGTGTGACCGGTGGGCCGAGTATCCGCTGCTACAAGGATTTGACCTGAGTCACATTTCAATAACCCGCTATTGAATTAGTCTACACAGGACCAGCTTCAAGAAATAGCAAAAGCGGCTAAGGCACCCACTGGCAAGGGGATTCTCCCTTACCTTCATCTACCCGAATCGGTTTTGAGCATGTTCAACTCACCTGTTGTTACAAGGGAGTGAACTGGGGGCTACCTGGAATCCCCGTGTCGTTCTTTTTCTAGTACTCTTGTTCTTATAAGCTCCACAACAGCCACATGCAACTATTCTTACAGCTCACTGGGTGACTAACCAAGCCATGTTGACCCCATATTAATCAACCCCAGTGTATTGATGGGGGGGGTGTCCGATTCTGGGTTTAGTGGGGAATCAAGCCACTTTGGGAGGGGCCAAACACCACCCGCCTAGTAATAAACTGGGCTTGAAATAATCATGGGGTCAACATTCACCTGTTGACCCCCCTGCAAAAGTTTAACTTTTCGGGGTTTAGTGGCAAACCCAACTTGATTTCAACCAAAAAGTTGAAGTCTAAAGATCCAACCCAGCAGTCAAGATGTTACAAGCTCCGGGGACTTGGGTTCCTCTCTTTGAACTCCTCATGCTTTGGGCCTGTAATACATCTCCTCGTCCACTTCGCTGTCCTGGCCGACTCCCAAAAACCCGGGAAGGCGAGACGGAACCTGACGTTCGATGGGGTTTCCCCCTGGTTGAGACAAAACTGTGCTTTTAAAAGGGACCGGGTCCCGAACGTCAGGTTCCATGTTGATTGAGGGTGAAATGGATGCTTTGAAATACTGGAAAACTTCCAAAAACCAAACCCTCGCCAAAAAAAGATTGTCCAAACCATCACACAGGTTCCTTCCCCATTCTGAACCCTCTGGACGGTGCGAGGTCCAACAGGTTCACCTGCCTCCCGATTGCCTGGCTCAAAGTGCTGCTCTTTCCAACCTTGGCGTTGCCTCAAACTTTTGTTCAAAGGGGTTGCCAATTCAAGTTCAGTTCTCCTGTGTCACGTGAAGTTTCAAGACGACATATGCGCCACAGTCAAATTTGTTCAACCAGCTTCTAGCCATAATTTGGTAAGAGTACCCAATGTCATCCCGGTTTGGTGTCCTTTTGGTTTCCCTTCAAACGCCCTCCAAAAGGGGTCCACCAGTCTCCATCCGACCGGCCGATGCAAATCGGGGTGCGACAAAACAGCTGGCTGCCAAACGGGAGTTTGACATGTGGGTATGAAATCAAACTGGGCTGTCCGCCAAATACAAATGGATTAATGTCCACCAACCACCTGCGGTTGTTCCCTGGTACAATCCATACCGTACCCATGTGGGCACTTTGGGGTGTCCCTTCTCACATAAAGACTACCTTCGAAGAAACATACCCTACTGGGCCCCTATCTTTGGACCCCCAAGTACATCAAGACTGAGCTAGAGCCTGGAAACATGGACCAAAACCTGCCCAACCAAATTCCCGCCGCTTAGTTTTGAGCATCCAAATTCCCAGCCGCGCTCGCAGAATGCAAAACTCCAAAGCTCCCCGGTCCCCGACGTCGTCGTGGATCCCGAAGAAGTGGCCACAAATCCACGGCATCGCCACCACCTGAGCTTGAGCTACTCTCAGTCCCTCGCGAGCAAGCGACTTGAGCGGCTTTCGGAGGTTGGTCGGAGGTTTTTCTCTTGGACAGGGCGATCAAAGCAGCCAAGCCTCAAAATTGGTTTGGATTTGGACTTGAACCGCTTCCTGAATCCAAATGGGTTTTGCGGGTTTCCCGGTTGCCAGCACCAAGCCCATCCAAGCCAAGGCTGAATCAAAGTGGGAGGCCGCTAAACGGAACCCCACCACGGTTTGAGGACCTGGGTCTCTGCTCGATGCAACCAGAAACCGAATGGAAGGAAAAGGAAGAGGCTGCAGGAAGGAAGAGGCCTCTGGGCCCCAAAAGCTCCTAGCTAGCAACTCGCAAGGAACCCCACTAGCTGGCACATGTGCCAAGGAAATGGTTGGCTACGTGTGAGGCTCACACTTTCGCACCCCTCCAGTGAGAACTGCTGGATGTGCCAAGGAAATGCTACGTGTGAGGCTCACACTTTCGCACTCCAGTGAGAACTGGGAATTCCAAGCCGGACACGCGGGTTGTTCCGCTGACGTGCTCACGATCTTGCACGTGCCACAAGTCGTCCATTCAAGAAACAAACTGCGGGAACCTCTGGGCTGCCCTCAGATCCCCTGCGAAAAGTGAACAACTTTTAGTGGGCTAAATAAAAAACTAACACTAAACACTAAAAGGCTAAAAGGCTAAAAGGCTAAAAGGCTAAGGAATCGGACGGCTGGGAGCCACCAAGATCTCCATCCCCAAAATCAAATCGAGTCGAAAAATCCTCGAAGCGAATTCGCCAGGGCGCAACGAGCGCAGCCAGCGCTGTCGACCCAGAGACCCACGCCGGCCAAAGGTATTCGCCTCCAGTCGCCCGGTTTAGGCACCCTACCTGTAGGCACCCTCATGGTGGTGAATTCACGGAAAGCCCCAAAATGGGATCCCATGTCTTTTGACCCACAGCCATTTCACCCTCGTTGCCCTTGCGGGTTCCCGACCCCACCTCCAAACCACAGATGCCCAGTTCAAAGTCGGGGAACTGAAGCTTCTGGCTTTGAAGGTCTCTCAGTCGTCTCTGCCAAACCTTAAAAAATCAAGTCCTCCAAGCAGAAAAACCAAAGCCATGTGCGGCTTACCTTGTGTTCCCTTCCCAATGCTGCCCCCCCAAAACTCAGAGCAACCACGGGCACCCGAAGGCCCAGCAAACCCCATGGAGCCTATGGGAAAAATTCACGAAAATCGGCTTCCGGAGTCTTCTGAACACCTGGAAATAGAACAGGCTTCTGTGGATCAACAAAATTCTGCGCCAGTTCGGAACCTAGGTGCGTGAATTGTCTCCAGGCTGTTCTGTCCCAAGACCACGAACCTTCCCTGAAACCTGCAAAAGAAAACTTGGCATCGGTGCGCAACATCTGCCAGGTTCATTCCAACTCTCATTCCCTACCGATTTCGCTTACCATCCCACTGGTCGTGGGAATCTGCCAAGTTGCTTCTCCAATTCTCATTCCCCGATTTCGCCCCAGCCGTGGGCCTTCGCCCGAGATTCGCCTCCAAGCTCTCTCTGCGCCGAGACGCAATGCACGCCGGGGGCGCACGCCTCCGACTCGGAGGTGGCATACACCGCCCAGGCCACGATGTTCACCAGAAGCAAGTTCCTCGCGAGGGTCGAAGAAATGGGGGTGGGGGGGGGGGGGGGGTGCTCCAGCAGGTAGTCGTCTTCTGGAAAAATCGGGTGGGGCCCCCGCGCCCCCCGGAGAAAGCCACTGCAGTGTCGCATACCCCGCAGCCTGCGGATGCCGAACCTTGGCCGGAAGCCCCAAGTCATACCTCCTCTGCCTATGGGACTTGAAAAGCCGAAGTGCTCAGCTCACGCCGAAAAAAGATCCGGCCCAAAAGGTAGGTGAGACCCAACCAGGCAGGTGCTCAAGGAGCCAAGGAGCCAAAGCTTAGCCAAAGGGAGGGGGGGTAGAAAGCTCCGGCGCCGAGGGGCAGCAGCACCACCCAGACCCAGCGAGGACCTCAACTGACTTGGCTGGTTTGGACCTGAAACCTAGCCGGGCTGGGGTCTTTTGGGCCGGAAGAAACCAGGACGTTTTTGGGCAAGTCCCCAAACCCCGAGCTGGGCAGATATATATATATATATATATATGTATATAATATATATATATATATGTACCAGTCCCTGGGCCACGTACCCCCCCACCCCCCCCCCAATGGTATGGTCCCCCCACTCCCCCGCATCATCCGCATCTTGGGGATGATGTTAGCAATGCTGGGGATGCTGTCCGTGCGAGCCCAGACCCCCTTTCACCCCGTGAACCAACACCCCCGCACCTCTCGCAACATCCTACCCTAAACCAAACCACCCTGCAACCCCTCCTTAACCCCAACCCTAAGCCTAAATCAACCCAAACCCCAAACCCACCCGAAACCCACCGCAAACCAACCCTGAACCAACCCTGAACCAACCCTAAACCAACCCACCAAGCCTAAACCAACTCCGAACCACACCCCAACCACCCAACCACCCAACCACCCAACCACCCCACCACCCCACCACCACCCCACCACCCCACCACCCCACCACCCACCCCACCCCCACAGGACAGGGGGGGCGGGGTGGTTGGCCCAACCACCCAACCACCCCACCACCCCACCACCCCGCCACCCCACCACCCCACCACCCACCCACCCCACCACCCCACCCACCCACCCCCCCCCCACAGGGGGGGGGGTTGGGGGGGGGGGGGGGGGGTCCACGGCCTGGAACACATATATATATGGTGTGTGTGTGGTGTGTGTGTGTGTGTGTGTGTGTGTGTGTGTGTGTGTGTGTGTGTGTGTGTGTGTGTGTGTGTGTGTGTGTGTGTGTGTGTGTGTGTGTGTGTGTGTGTGTGTGTGTGTGTGTGTGTGTGTGTGTGTGTGTGTGTGTGTGTGTGTGTGTGTGTGTGTGTGTGTGTGTGTGTGTGTGTGTGTGTGTGTGTGTGTGTGTGTGTGTGTGTGTGTGTGTGTGTGTGTGTGTGTGTGTGTGTGTGTGTGTGTGTGTGTGTGTGTGTGTGTGTGTGTGTGTGTGTGTGTGTGTGTGTGTGTGTGTTGTGTGTGTGTGTGTGTGTGTGTGTGTGTGTGTGTGTGTGTGTGTGTGTGTGTGTGTGTGTGTGTGTGTGTGTGTGTGTGTGTGTGTGTGTGTGTGTGTGTGTGTGTGTGTGTGTGTGTGTGTGTGTGTGTGTGTGTGTGTGTGTGTGTGTGTGTGTGTGTGTGTGTGTGTGTGTGTGTGTGTGTGTGTGTGTGTGTGTGTGTGTGTGTGTGTGTGTGTGTGTGTGTGTGTGTGTGTGTGTGTGTGTGTGTGTGTGTGTGTGTGTGTGTGTGTGTGTGTGTGTGTGTGTGTGTGTGTGTGTGTGTGTGTGTGTGTGTGTGTGTGTGTGTGTGTGTGTGTGTGTGTGTGTGTGTGTGTGTGTGTGTGTGTGTGTGTGTGTGTGTGTGTGTGTGTGTGTGTGTGTGTGTGTGTGTGTGTGTGTGTGTGTGTGTGTGTGTGTGTGTGTGTGTGTGTGTGTGTGTGTGTGTGTGTGTGTGTGTGTGTGTGTGTGTGTGTGTGTGTGTGTGTGTGTGTGTGTGTGTGTGTGTGTGTGTGTGTGTGTGTGTGTGTGTGTGTGTGTGTGTGTGTGTGTGTGTGTGTGTGTGTGTGTGTGTGTGTGTGTGTGTGTGTGTGTGTGTGTGTGTGTGTGTGTGTGTGTGTGTGTGTGTGTGTGTGTGTGTGTGTGTGTGTGTGTGTGTGTGTGTGTGTGTGTGTGTGTGTGTGTGTGTGTGTGTGTGTGTGTGTGTGTGTGTGTGTGTGTGTGTGTGTGTGTGTGTGTGTGTGTGTGTGTGCGTCGCTTTTCGTGTAGACGCAGTTTTTTCGACTCTGGCCTGCTTGTGCAATGTGTGAAAAAACCAGCCGGAGCCTGTTGCAATTGGGGGCGACCCTAGTCTGGACAAAATGCATGCCAAGGCACACCCGCTGCTTGGCTTACAAACGTAGTAAGGCAGCATGCTCAGCAAATGCCTTGGATGTCCGAACATGCGATAGCTTTGGATCTATCAAGACATGGCATCCACACGTATGCAAGACGGAGTCACCAGAATCATTGCAACTCATCGAAACGAAATCACCATCTCTGGGCCTCATCCGCTCTGGCTTGATCTTGTCCCAGGCTGGGGAAATGCCGAAAAAATCGGGGCAACTGAATGGCTCCAAGAGCCCTCCAGCATCCACGGCCAAGCAACGCGATCACCAGGACGATGGAGCCGAAAGTGACCCTTACGACGCTCGCTCGCGCGCTTCGGCGAGCGTGATCGGGGGGCGCCCGTTTTGGTCCTCCGAATTTCAGGGCTCGAAACCGTGGCAGGTAAGGAGGGGCAAAAAAAATGGCCCAAAAACGAATGGGGACTAACTCTAATTGAGGGACGTGTGGACGTGTGGTGAACATCATTTGCACTGGCGCGGAGATGTCCACCAATGCTCCATCAAACCTCGCCAAGCATCCCTCTCATAGCTTGCCTCGGCCTCTCGCTGGGTGAAGCCGGGATCTAAAGCGCAGTCGCGGGTTATTTTTTTTCGCTCGGAGTCGAACTTTGGTTGGCTTCCTTCAGCCAGAAAACTCGGACAGCGGGAAAAGAAACAGACCCTGAAAAGCTCGGCTTGGCAATTGGACGGCTCGGTGGCTGATGCTTTCTTTTTTTTTGTGAGCAGAAACGGCGGTTTCGAGTCTATGCAAGGTATGTATTGGGCTGTCCTCAGATCCCCTGCTAAGAGTTCAACTTTAGCGGGTTGAATGAAAACCCCACAAAACCAACTAAAAACACAAGGAAATTGCGTGGCCGGCAGTCTGAGACCGCCGCCAGAGCGGCCAGGGGTACGTGCCGCCCCGATCCTTGGACCTGGCTCGGGAAATCAACTGCCTTCTGATGCAGAAGCTTTGTTGCTTTTCTTCTTACTGCAGACAAACTGGTTGAAGTTCCGGGAAAAAAAATAAATGAAGAAGAACAAATAGATAGAGAGAAAAAAATAGGAAAAAATGGCAAAGAGCACAACTCCACTCGTGGAGGGATAGGATCCTCTCTCAAACCCCTTTCTGCGAGCTCTTCGGCGCAAGCTCTTCCGACTCGGTGGATTTGCTGAGTTGGTGAAAAGCACCATCAAGAGTACCCAATCCAAATGAAGAAACGTAACCTTGCAGCACGGCTACAGTGACTAAAGCAGCCATGCAGCCACGCGCATGGAACCAAACAAGCATCCTCAGCCAAATTGGGGCTGGTGTTCTTTCCATACAAAAGCACCTGAGACACTCACAGTGAATGCGGAAAAGCAGGAACTAACTAGCTGCCTGCACGGACCCTTCTGTGGACATCTTTTTGGTGGTGAATGTGCACCAACCACTTTTGAGGTTGCTCTGAACATTCATCGCCGCAAAAAAAGACTCCACGCCTCAGCATGCCGTAGATCCCCCATACCACGATGTTCACCAGCAGCAGAGCGGCCAGATGCGCAAAGAAGGCGAACCTCGCTCAACTCTCCGCGAGTGCGGTGGAATCCAAGTCATGCGCAAGCACTTGGCTCGAGCCCAAGTCCGTGGGTCCCTAATCTCGATCTGGAGCCACGGGTAAGGGGGAGGGCAAAGTTGGGCTCGGGAGGTTTGGGGAGGGGTTGGGTACCTCTAAACAATTCCAGGAAAGAATAAAAAAAAAAAAAAAACGTGGAATCTCTTTGGGAACTTGCTTGTCACCCTCCGGTGTCACCCGTGAGGAAACTGACTCAACACTGACGGATAGTGCTTCAATCTGCACGAAAGGGATACAAGAGTGCGATTGTATTGACTTTGTGGGCTGCGTTGACCGCGTTCGGAGTTCTCCATGAGGTTGAAATGCACAAGATTTCTGATTCGCCTGTGGTACTTTGGGAAGCATATCTGCGTGTCATCTCCGCAATAAAGAACTATGGCTCAAGTTGGCGACGGGATCAATTCTACCAGAATTGGGAGTGTTCCAAGATAAGGGGCCCAAAGAATGGTGGCTTGTCTTCTAAGAGAATCCATGACATGGGCAATCTGCCGAGTCCCCCCGCAAAAAAAAAAAAAAAAAAAAAAAAAAAAAAAAAAACGGGACCTGCTACGAGGCTCGAGAGATTCTTGCCAAAAACACGCGAGATGAGTGTCGATAAGGGAAAACAAATCGAGAAAAAGTGAACCCCCCCTTGGTGGTTGCCCTTTCGTGTCCTTTCAACGCAGCCCATTGTTGGGGTGCCATCAAGCAAGATGCCAACATCCGAAGCGAGCCAACTTCATGTCTTTGAAATCCGGAAGAACGTTGTGTGGAATCAATTGGTCATGGGTCAAAATCCTGTACACCCAGTGAACATCCCAATCCCCCAAAATGGTACCATTGGTTTTGACCAGCCAATTCATCCCGGACTCGAGTCCAAGTCCGGAAATCCAAAAAAGAATGAAGCCCGCGCCAAGCAGCTTCAGATATCTGCCGCACTTCACCTTATGCTCTGCCTGAGACAAAGAAAGCATCAAAGGGATGCGTGTAGAAACCCTGCGAGCAATCCGTTTCCCCCCACCAAACCCAAAACAAGAATCGCCAAGCTCTGCCCCTTCTCGTTTCAACCAGAAGCTTCGACACCAAACGGAACCGCGAGCTCGGCTCGCAGGCCCGGATTTCGGCAAATTCATCCAAATTCCTTCAGATCCAGCTGCCGCAGGTAGCTAGGATGGTTCCCACATTTGTTATTTATTTTCTATCTTCTTTCCTTGCCACGGTTGCTTCGCGCAACCGGCCTCGGCACGCTTTAAGGCCTGCTGGTCGATCTGGACCTGCCCACCGGGTCCCACGTTGACATACTGCATGGCACCTGGTCGCTCAAAACGCAGATCGAAGGACGCCGGTGCGTCTGTTTTTTGAGGCACCTTTGTTGGTGGCTCGAAAGGAAAACCCAAGGAAGACCCACCATGTTGCAGTCCACAAAAGAACCAAGCTCGTATCGCGACTTGGAAAGGACGGCATGCCGAGCGCCACTCCCCCCCATTGCCTTGGGCTCAGCACATCGACGCTGAGCATTGCTGGACAGGCAGCGGGAAGTCACGCATTGGTCAAGCGGGACCCAACAACTTATGAGGGAATGAACCTGAGATTCCCTTTACAGAAACCACACGCATTTTTGCTTGTTTAACACCAGCAACACAAATCGTGGTTTTCCCCTTTGGTTTCTCCTGAATTCAACCTGAAACAGGTATTCTCAAAAAGAAACACAAGCTCAGCACTGTCAAGAACTGCTTGGGGCAACTCCGCGTCAATAACAACGCAAGCCCTGCCGTTGCAACCCACACTGTAAGAATCCTGTTCACTGCTTCAAGCCATGAGGGAACAGCCATGAAAAGGGGAGCCCGATCGACCCTAAGACGCACCGCGCCCTTTTTTGTAGGCGTTGCTCAGAAGTTCAGGCCCAGGGGGCAGGAGGAGCGACAACGCGTGTCCACTCCCTATCCCTGCACCCCCATGCGGAGCCTGCACAAATGCCCCCAAGGTCAACAATGTGTGTTCGACCTTCACGCAAGGTGTATTACCTTTGGGGTGTGAGACAAACTGGAAGTAATGCTGGCACAACAAAAGGCAATGCGTGCCACTTGTGTGACGACACTAAGGAATGCGCCCTCAGTGATGGACCTTGGCGGTCCTCGTGGATGCAATGCGGCACCACAAGAGGCATAGATTTCCCAAGAGGAAGGCTGCGCATAGGCCTGCTGTAGGGTCCAGGCAAGGGGGTTGGTAGGCCAATAGGAGGGTCAGGCAGGGGGTTGCTAGGCCTATGAAAGGGTGTGGGCAGAGAGGTGTGTAGGCCTTGGGTAGGCCCTAGGCAAGGGTGTTGGTAGGCCTATGCCAAGGCCGAAACAACGGGGTTCCGTAGGCCTTTGGTAGACACGCGGTAGACACTAGATGAGGTTACAGCAGGCCAAGAGAAGAGGGCTACGTGATGGGGTTCGACAGGCCTAGTGTAGGGCTACGGGGACCCCTTTGGGTAGGCCTAGGACAGGCCAACGCAAGCGGAGGCAGGTCTCTAAAAAAAATCGCAAAAAGCGATCCAGAACGCGCGAAATGAGCCGGACGAGCGTGCAGGTAGCACGCCGCTAGCAAACGGAACGCTCGAAGGAACCACAGGACAGGGCAAGAAAGAGTCGCGCAGGGCAACGGCGCATCTTGAGATGCAACGCCTGCGTCGCAGTATTTGTTGCGCTGGAAGTCGCATGTGAGACCCAGATGCAGGCAATGTGAGGCCTCGTGGAGAAGGCAATTCAAAGCTTAGCGCAATCTGTCTGGGCGGCTTGCATACGTGCGTGCGTACGTACATACGTACATACAAACATACACACATACATGCCAACACACATACACACATACATGCATACATGCATACATGCATACACACATGTGTTCATACATACATACTGGCATGTATGCATGCCTGCATACACACACATGCATACATTATATTCCATACCGGTCCGTTCCACTCTATTACGTTACACTGCATTTCATTCCGTACATATGTTACATTGCAGTACATTACATTACATTACATTACATTGCATCACATTACATTACCTTGCGGGGTATTGCAACACATTGCATCACACAAGAAATACATGGATACATACACAGACACATACATACCCACATATATGCATACATACCGACATACACACATTAGACTACATTGCGTTACATTACACTACATTACATTACATTACGCTACATTGCATTACATTACATGAGACATTACATTCATACATGCATACATACATATGTATATATGTACGTATATCTATACATGACACGGTTACACACACATACATACATTACAATATTCCATAAATACATACACTACAGAATTAGATACATAAATACATTACATTACATTACAATACATTACAATACATATTAAATTTCACTACACTCCATTATATTACATTACAGGCATACAGGTATACATTATATAACTATATACATACATACGCACATTACAGAATTGCACACATACCATACCATACCATACCATACCATACCATACCATACCATACCATACCATACCATGCCATACGTACGTACGACATACATACGATTACAATACATTACATTGCATACATACATACATACATGCACACATACATACATTACATACATACACACACACACCTTCACACACACATACACGCACGCACGCATGAATGCATGCATGCATGCATACATGCAGGCATGCATACACACACATACATACATACATACATACATACATACATACATACATACATACATACATACATACATACATACATACATACATACATACATACATACATACACACATACATACATACATACCTACACACACGCATGCCCAGGAAGAAAAACACGTACGTACGTATACTACACTACACTACACGACACTACAATCGGTACAGCATGTGCGTGCATCCCTTGCAGCGCAGTCAGCGGAGGATGCAGCAGCGGAAGTGAATTCAGTGTATGTTTGGGTGACGCCGAACGGTCGCCACTTTCACAAGCATACTCGCAAGTGGGTGATCAACAGAGAAGTGAGCCGAGTGACTGAAGATCAGGCTTTGGCGGCTCACTACAAGGTATGTCGCAGCTGCCGTGCTCTTGGCAGCCGGAACAGACGTACAACTACCAGCAGCTCGTCTCAAGATGTTGACGATGTCCAAACATGTGAAACCTAAAGCTGCTTCAAGCAGGTGGTCGCAAAACGGGCTTCCACTTTTCCTACACACCATCTCACCGGCCAGTCACTTGCGCACTCTGCTTTCTCGACCTTGCAGCAATGCTAGAGTAAGCGCCTCGCCCAATTTGGAAGCTCTGAAAAAAAAATGTCTGAAGGCGGGGCGCTAAACATGTAAGGCACCGTAGACCACTTGTGAAACACATGACTGAGTGTGTATAGTTCATGATTAGGTGAACGATGTTTTCCGCTTTGTGTTGATCCATGCGAAACGGCATGTACGAACTGTGAGCCCTCGCAGGCGTCTCGGTTGAAAAGTTTAGCACCTTTGCACGTGGCCTGTGTTCCCTTCTCATCCGGCAGCCGGAAGGGCTGCGTTTTCTGGCTGTACCCGAGGCCCTTGCACTCATGGGCAATGCTGGCACCATAGCACTTCCACAGGACTTTGAGCAGAGCTTTCACTTGCTCGGCAATGGAATTTCGCTGCCCCATGCTGCTATTGCCATTGCCCATTTGCTGCCCTGCATGAAGCATGGTAAGAATTATGCACGCGACCCGGAGCAGCTAGCAAGGCTGGTGGTCAGCAAGACAGTGCCATGCAGTTGAGCGGGAGAACGACATGATCTGGCACAAACCAACGCAGCAGCCGTTGCATACAGTGTCATGCATGCCACCACTGACATCATTGGAGAGTGTTGCAACTCCGGCTGCATCCATTCTTGAAAGTGCGCCAACTCCAGTTGCCACGACAGGAAATGTGCCAACTCCAGTCTCCAGTATGCAACACACACTGCGTGGGCAGATGCAGTTCAGCAGTGGCGGTCCATCGTTAAAACGCGCTGCGGTTATCCAGGAATGCCCAACCTGCAAGCAACGACGGGAATGTGCTGAAGCAGACGCGCGCTCAGATGTGAGCCCGACATTGCAATGGCAGCCTGACTGGAATTCAGAGTTTCCGACCAATTAGATATGCGGTTTCATAACTCATCGGCCACGTATGCATAGCTGGACTTGCATACATGCAAGATCTGGATGCACTTGATGATGCAGCGCTTTGTTTTTTTGGTTTATGCGACCAGTAGCATAGGTGACAGTACAGCATAGCCCATACACAGTCCATGTGCGAGGCAGCAACTGATGTGGACTGGACTGGCATCAAACTTCCTCCAGAGGATGGACTGGATTTGAAGTGGAAACACGTGCCTGCGGCAAGCACCACAGATGTGACAGAAGTGGTGCCAGAATATGGCCAATCGCGGGCCTAAGGCGCAGATCCGTTTCAGCTTGCATGGCGTAGTTTTGATTGGATAGGATCAGTTCAGTCAGGATGGATTACCTATTTTATTTTTCCCGAAAGCATGGCGAAGGGTTCTTCCGCTGGGTTCACTTGAGTTGTTCTCATGAGAGTCATTACAAGGTGTCATTGCAAGGAATCAGCATCATGAAAGTCATTGCAAGGAGTCATTGCAAGGAATCATCATCATGAAAGTCATTGCAAGGAGTCATTGCAAGGAGTCATTGCAAGGAGTCATTGCAAGGAGTCATTGCAAGGAGTCATTGCAAGGAGTCATTGCAAGGAGTCATTGCAAGGAGTCATTGCAAGGAGTCATTGCAAGGAGTCATTGCAAGGAGTCATTGCAAGGAGTCATTGCAAGGAGTCATTGCAAGGAGTCATTGCAAGGAGTCATTGCAAGGAGTCATTGCAAGGAGTCATTGCAAGGAGTCATTGCAAGGAGTCATTGCAAGGAGGAGTCATTGCAAGGAGTCATTGCAAGGAGTCATTGCAAGGAGTCATTGCAAGGAGTCATGGCAAGGATTGCAACTTGCACTTGACTCCTTGCACTTGCAACTTGCACTTGACTCCTTGCACTTGCAACTTGCACTTGACTCCATGCACTTGGCTCCTTGCACTTGGCTCCTTGCACTTGGCTTGCAACTTGCACTTAACTCCGTGCACTTGCGACTTGCACTTGACTCCATGCACTTGGCTCCTTGCAACTTGCAATGGCTCTCATGACTCCTTGCAATGACTCCTTGCAATGACTCCTTGAAACAAGCAAGGAGTCAAGCGCAAGTTGCAAGTGCAAGGAGTCAAGTGCAATTGACTTGCGAGGAGTTAAAATCTCTTCTTAGGGCGGCGGGGTAGTGCCGACGACACTACACGAAAATCGACCCTCTGCGGGGATCGGCGTGGTCGAGGTGCAAAAACCCATGGTTTTTTGCGATTTCTAAAGTTCCCGCGCGACCCTCTGCGGGGATCGGCGTGGTCAAGGCGCAAAAAACCCATGGTTTTTGCGATTTCTAAAGTTCCCGCGCGACCCTCTGCGGGG